TTACTGCAGGTGTTCACGGCCGTCTCTGCGACTCCTCTCCAGGTCCCAAACACATGAAGCGGGAGGAGCTGGAAGCGAACGGTGAGGAGGGCACGAAGTACAGGAAGGAGCCCTCGGCGTGTCCCATCTGCGGAAAGGTGGGCCAACCCATCGCTAGCCTCCTTAGAAGTTCACGGCACAGCGTTCACAGTTTGCAGTGCCGTAAACTGTTTTGTTTTTGGTGCTCTGTAGTGTGACTGACGAGTGCAGACAAAGTAACCAGATCTAGATAGACCGCAAAACCTTCTGATGGCCTTTCCCTTAGCCCCCCTTTTTTTAAATTGCATTATTTCCCATTGATTTTGCTCGCTTCTGCAGCTGGCGGTATAGTTGGGGTACATTTTTTATTTCAGTCCACTAGGTGGCAACATCACTCGGAGAGAGGAACACGCATAGCTGTTGCAGCAGAGCAGCGCTAAACAGTGCTTGAAGTCACCTCTGTTTCTGTTGGAGTTGGAGTCGGGGTCAACACTTTCTTAGTTTTGTCCTAAAAATTGTTTGCAGCCTGATTCCAGGCTTTTCAATTGATTGTCCTCTTTACTGGCGCTGCAGGCGCGAACAAGTCCACCGGGGGCTTGTAGCAGGCTGCAGCTGCGCCGTGCCATGTCATGACCCTCTCTGCTCTGCCGCTGTGGCTGCCAGGTCTTCTCCTGCAGGAGCAACATGAACAAGCACCTGCTGACCCACGGCGATAAGAAGTACACCTGTGAGATCTGCGGCCGCAAGTTCTTCCGCGTCGATGTCCTCCGAGACCACATTCACGTGCACTTCAAGGTAGGAGCCCAGGAGAGGCTTTCGGTGAGACTGCATCTTGTGCAGCGACTTGCAGAGCTCAACGCCAGTTTTCAGGAGCTTGATACTCCCCTACGAAAGCATGAGGGAACCCTGCCTGAACCAGTAATCGTCTTTCATGGATTCCTTGAGTTGTTGTACCCCAGCTTTACCTCAGGGGGTGGGAATTTTGTGTTTCCTGTTTTTTATTAGTATTTTTAACGAGAATGGCAGTATTTTTCTTCAGACGTCTGCACTTGTAGGCCTCTCTGTGGTGTTAAGATAGTGTGGAAGAGCTTCGGTGAAGAGCCGGGTGAACATGCAGGAGCACTTGCAGCTGGAAGTGTCTCGCGCAGTTCCTGGGGGTGGGGGCGGGGGAACAGGCTGTGTGGGACGCTGGTGGTGTTGGCGTGACCCGCCCCTCCCTCCCTCCCTCCTGCAGGACATCGCTCTGATGGACGAGCAGCAGAGGGAGCAGTTCATCAGGAAGATCGGCATCTCGGTGGACGACAGCGACGGCAACTCGGACGAGGAGGAAGTGGAGGACGACCCCGAGCTCCACAAGTACAGCTGCAAGAAGTGTCAGGTGAGCCGAACCCCCCAGATATCAGAAAAGGGGGATCCCGGGACCAGTGTGTCCTGTGCAGACCCCACTAAGGAAAGGCCACGTCCTGTAAGTGGGGAATAAAAACAAGCGGCCTGCAGTCCCATCCCGGCGAGAGCTGGCTGCACTGATGAGCAGGTTTCACGAGGCGTTCTCTTCCCAGAGGGCCGTGGGGCGTGATGGCGTGACGTGCGTCTTGTCTCCCTAGGTGACCTTTGCAAAGGGCAGGGACTACCTGCGGCACATCATGGACCTGCACAAGGAGAGGGGCTACGGCTGCATCATCTGCAACCGGCGCTTCGCCCTCAAGGCCACCTACAACGCGCATCTCGTCATCCACCGCGAGCAGCTGCCCGACCCAGCGGTGCAGCGGTGAGGGGGGCAGAGGGAGGCCAGACGTCATGCCTGGGTTCAGTCAGTGGGTGTGTGTGGGGGCTGCTTTTATAAGACTGTCGGCATGTGTGAATGGTTTGCTTCTCCCAGTCTCCCCGAACTCTTATCCTGGAAACTGTAAAACTGTAAAGTCTTGTTCTTTTACATGCATGCCTTCCTTTAAGGGAAACCGAGGGCGCTATGTGCTCCAGGGACAGTCCAGGGCAGATCCAGAGGGGAGGGATCAGTGAAGGGAATGTTTCTCTATGGGATAGGGAAGCAAGCCGTAATCGTGCTCTTCAGAACCCCCAGTTCCGATGGGAACCGTTGTCTTCACCAGCTGAAGTAGTGTGAGAAGCCTTAGGCTGCAGTTCATTGTTGTTATTGGTTGTTGGTGGTTAGTATATTAGGTAGTGTCATTGAAAACAGAGAGAGAGCAGGTAGATAAGGAGGATTTACCTTTATTTGAATAATTTGTTTTGTGTTTTTTGGGGGGTTTTGTTTTCTGGTGTGGGGGACTGGGAGCACTGTAAATAGACTGCACTTGTTTTGCTTGGGTGCTTTTGCGGCAGAGCCAGTCTGGTATAAAACGAACCTACTCTGGCCTTGCTCAGGCCATCGTGTGACATTTTAGGCTGAAGTCATCTCAAAGCCTGAGCATCCCAGTGTATCACACCCATGGCTACCTTCATAATGATTTGGATTTACGGAAGCCCTCAGGGTCACCATCGGTGCCTGATGATCAAAGAAGCAAAAGTGAATCTCGGCTGAGATTCGTCGTCTTGCCCTTTCAGGTACATCCATCCATGCGAGATCTGCGGACGGATTTTTAACAGCGTTGGCAACCTGGAAAGACACAAGATCATCCACACAGGTGGGCTGTCGGTGGTGAGTGGTGGTAGCGTGGTAGTTTGTGTGATCGCACACAGGGCTCCAGTCCACTGTGTACTGGACCGATGACAGCTGCTTGTGAATCACTGAACTAACTATGGAACGAAAGAACTGTCCTTTGTTGCTGATCTCCTTAGCTTGTATCTCCTGTAGGTCTGAGACCTTAGCTCATCCGAGTGAAAAGAGATTTGTGGTTTCCGAAAGATCAAACAGCTGTGTCAAAATGTTAAATACTGCTAAAAAAGCAGTACCCTGTGCTTGTGAAAAGGAACTTTCTAAACATGGTTAAGCTCTGTGCATGCTGAAGAAGTGAGACACACCCGTTGTGTGGAGAGTTCACAAGAGTGACAGTGTGGCATTACAGAAGGCGAGACTAATCTTTGTCAAAAATCACATTATATTACATATTAGTAAGGCGATTCTGATATAAGCTATAAATACATATGCAGGAGTCTCTGCCCCCCCTCTCTCTTAAACACTTAATTTATAGCAATTTAGGGGGATGCTCTGAGGTATAAAAACTGCTTGGAATATGATTTTGGTGTGTCGCTGTTATTGTCCCCAAAACAGCGGGGCCATTTTCTTATGAAATATACGCATTTTGAATCTTTGATTAACTGCGCTGTGACTTGCCGACATTACAGCACAAGAGACAAAGCAGAATCGCTCCTGCGATTACATGTTCATGGAGCATCTGGATGAAAGAGCTGCATCCTGTCTGATGTGTCTGAGGACCCGAAAGTAAAGCATTGTGACTCTGCTAAAAAAGATAATCTCATCGACTCTTCTGCTGAAGCTTTGTGGTGAAGTGTTTTGTCGCCACACTCGGGTTTAAAGTGCTCTGTCCCCCCGCAGGAGTGAAGAGTCACAGCTGTGATCAGTGCGGGAAATCGTTTGCCAGGAAGGACATGCTGAAGGAGCACCTGAGGGTCCACGACAACATCCGGGACTACCTGTGTGCCGAGTGCGGCAAAGGTACTGCCCCTTCCAAACCCTTCTGCTGCCCCACGCCACACAGCGCGATGAGGAGGGCTGAGCAGCAGCTGCAGAGAAACTCTCAGTGCGGCTGCAGGTCATGAGAGGGGGACAGATGAAGCTGACAGGTTTACCTCGTCTCTCTTTCACTTTTCTGAGGACAGCAGCAGGCTTTTATGCTTGAAGATGGGCAAAATTTCCCATACAAAAACAGGCATTTTTATGAATGGTCAGTAACAGCTTGTTACCATATATGGTGTAGACAAGATCAGAAGGTTAGGCAGTCAGGCCAGCCTTGGGTAATTAACCAAGAAACCTGCCAGGGTGGTGTTGCCTTAAGACTTCAGCCTGCAGCTCTCTCCCTGTTCCTGTGGCTAGGAATGAAGACCAAGCATGCCCTGCGTCATCACATGAAGCTGCACAAGGGCATAAAGGAGTACGAGTGCAAGGAGTGCAACCGCAAGTTTGCACAGAAGGTCAACATGCTGAAACACTACAAACGACACACCGGTGAGCCTAAACCTGAGCCAGCTGATACACACTGTCTCACACCCCCCAGCACAGCTACAGACTCCAGCTCTGCAGGGACAGCGGCTCTGCGCAAGAGCGAGGCTGTCTGAATGATTTTTAAAGCACGAAGTCGTGTTCTTGACATGCTTTGTAAGGACCAGGACCTCCTGTGAACGTCAGCTGTTTCTGAAGGAGGCACTGAAGGGCCTTTGACTTCTGTGATAGAGTGTGTCACGAGAGGGTCCTGTGATGATCTTATGTGTTTGTGAGCCAGGCCCAGCCTGCTTCTTCTCCTCGCAGGTAGATATCAGCGGTGCTCCATATTCCAGGAGAATTACCTGTGCTTGGAAAGCCTGCGATCTAGTCTTCCAGTAACACAGCAGGCCATAGTAGTCTCCCAACAGCTGACATTATAGGACCTTACAAAATTGTTTAGAACAACCATTGGAACACTCTTCCGCTTTCACATGCCTTCCAGTCACTTGTTTCCTTTGCAGCTCCTTGTTTCCATCACAGGCTGCTTGTAAAGCATACGAACAGTTGCAGATGAGAGGAGGCCATCAGAATCTCCTCCAGCTGCTTCCTGAAAGAAGTCAAGGTTGCAGCTTGAGTGGCATGGTGTATACCTTGTTCCATACTTCTGCCACCTTAAGGGTGATGAAGTGCCTCCTCTTCTGTTTGAAATGTACTTCCATGTAGTTTCCACCTGTGCCCTGTGTTTCACTGTTTGTTCTGTAGACGCACTCTAGGCTGACACTGTCAAGTCCTTTGAAGGATTAGGATAAACAGGTTTCATGTACCCTGGTAGTCTTGACTGTTGGGAGACTAAAAAGGTTCCATTCCTTGGCCATGATAGTGCTGTGTGTCAGATGTGTTTAATGTGAAAATAATAATGAAAGTATTCTCCCTCTTTGCAGGAGTAAAGGACTTTATGTGCGAGCTGTGTGGCAAGACATTTAGTGAGAGAAACACCATGGAAACACACAAGCTGATCCACACTGGTATGTTACTTGCGTGACATTTCATTGAGTGGAAATCTCCCAAAAAGCTAAATAATAATCTTCTGCTAAAAACTTGTCTCAGCTGCACCCTACCAACACTTAGTGTCAGGAATATCAATACTGTACCTCATTAAAGAGGAGAGCCATTGTTGATAATACGCAGCTTGCTAAACTTTATAAATGTTAGGGGTTTGAAATGACAGGATGTACGCAGAAATGAATAACATAACAGCACTTAAACAAGGGCATTAGAGAAAAGAGACAGAGTAAGGTTTGTATACTGAGCAACAAAAGTATCTTGTTGCTCTGTTCATACATGAATGTTTTTAGAAAAATAAAGCATACAGGTTTTTTTTAACAAGAGCTTTTGGTGTCTTTTCGGTCAAACACTCATTACTGACTGAGAAACACTAATGACTTTGCTACATCATTGCGAGAGTGCGACGGTATTGATCAATTTGGAAAGGAGTGAGAATCGAGGAAGAAACAGGCGGAAAGATTGTGAATATGTAGATTCTGTCTAAAGGACCACCGTCTGCTGTGAAGACCGGAATAAAACAAGGCCTTCATGCACCGGGGTGTTGGAGGCTGGATTATGTCTGTGCACTGTTGCTCCCTGTGTAGGGGGTTCACCTTTTAAAGTGTCTATTAATAATAATACTTCGTAATTCTTTTCTGTCTTTCCTATGTTTTAAGACATGACGTGTTTTTTTTAACATGTGCACTTCAGTTTGGCAGTTTTGCTACGTTTTTTGTACAGTCTCGTTATGTGTATTGCGTGGATTGCACACAACTTGTAAAACCCTTTATGTCCTTATGTATCGCGCTGGCCAGAGGAGCATCTGCACAGCGTGCAGGCTCTGGCCCTGACTCTCTCTGTGGCTCTGTCGCGGTCCGCAGTGGGGAAGACCTGGTCATGCCTGGTGTGCGACAAGAAGTACGTGACGGAGTACATGCTGCAGAAGCACGTCCAGCTGACCCACGACAAGGTGGAGGCGCAGAGCTGCCACCTGTGTGGGACCAAGGTGTCCACCAGAGCCTCCATGAACCGCCACATGCGCCGCAAGCACCCGGAGGTGAGCCAGGGGTCCACCGTCTGCAGCCAGGCAGGGCCCGGCGGGGGGGGCTCAAGCTGTAGGCTCATGGGCGCGGGTTCGCCGTGGGGCCCCTGTCTTTTGGGAACCCGGGACAAGCAGCCCCACCACGCCACGTTGCTGCAGCTGCTTGGGTAGCTCGTTCCAGCTGCCACAGCCCTGTGGGTGATGGGCCAGGTGCTGCTCCTTCGTGACGGAGAAAGAAGCAGGCTTTCTCGGCTGAACACACCCTTTCAAACCGGCGTCTCAGAGCTGTTTCTCTCCTAAATCTAGGTCGTAACCGTGAGAATTGACGATTTGGAACAGTTTCAGGACGCTACGACCATCGATGCCTCCACCATCAGTATTGTACAGGTCAGTGGCGCCGGCTGGGAGGTCCTTGCACGCAGCAGACACCAGCTGAGCTGTTCTCTGGATCCATGTGTCAGTTGGCTTGTACGATATCCATATCCCTCAGTGGGAGCGTGGCTAGGGCGATTCTGCGCCCGGCTACAGGAATGCTCATATCCGTTCCCAGCCGGTTGTTCTCAACCAGCCCGTCCTCCTGTCCTCCCGCAGCCCCCGCTGGCTCTGGACAAGGAGCAGCTGCCGGGGGAGAAGCCGCCCAGGCCCCCCAGGCCGCCCAAGAAGAAAGCGAAGCACGTGGAGGAGGCGGAGCTGCCCGACTCGGATGACCCCGCCTACGGCGAGTTCACCAGCAAAGGGGCGTTCACCGCCGCCGGGGGCGACGAGACCAGCTCCGCAGTGCAGAGCATCCAGCAGGTCAGGCTGACTCCGTGACCCTGACAAGGCCAGACCCCACTGTCTAACCCCCTGCTAACACTAGGCACTGTAACCAGATGGCTGAGTTTCCTGAATCATTAAAGGCCAGCAGCCATATCACTCTGCAACTCACAACTGGCAGCCCACTGAAGCTCAGCAGCTGCGAGCCTGGTCAGTACCTGGATGGGAGACCTCCTGGGAAAAGCTAAGGCTGCTGCTGGAAGAGATGTTAGTGGGGCCAGCAGGGGGCGCTCAACCTGCGGTGCATGTGGGTCCTAATGCCCCAGTATAGTGACGGGGACACTATACTGTAAACAGGTGCCTACCTTTGGATGAGACTAAAACTGAGGTCCTGACTCTCAAAAAGAGTAGGGGTGTAACCATGCCAAATTTTCCATTGGCCCTTACCAATCATGGCCTCCTAATTATCACCTATGAATTGGCTACATCACTCTGCTCTCCTCCCCACTGAGAGCTGATGTGTGGTGAGTGTACTGGCGCACTATGGCTGCCGTCGCATCATCCAGGTGGGGCTGCACACTGGTGGTGGTGGAGGGGAGTCCCCATTACCTGTAAAGCGCTTTGAGTGGAGTG